TCATGTTGTTATTATGGGAGAATTAAGTAAGATCTAATTCAAATCATTGAGAACAAATGAAATAGAACAAAGATAAAAAAAACACAACACATCAATAAATTATGTGCTGCTGCTACAGCTATCAGCATGACTTTGATTGTTAATTGTGAAGCTTTTACAGCTCCTTCAAATAAAACAATGGCAATAAAAAAATACAATGAAAAATTCAAATACCTTTAGTCAAATAATCTGCAAATAACTGATACTTAACAGTAATTTACTGGTGATATCTTAGAATGAAATGAGAAAAAAATTACTTCACGATCATCTAATGGCGATCCTTTTTTTCTTTATATAGAGTTTCAATCCCATGTCAGAGCCATTTGATGAATGGCCATCTAAACTTGATGCACATGTTCTAAATAGCATGGATGAATCATCAAACGGGGAGAATAAATTCGCATTCCCATGTGAGCCTACATGTGAGGAAGATGATTATGAAGTCACGGAAAGGAAAATCAGAGCATTCCTAGATGAAAAGGTATGAAATATTGATCTACATTATAAATTTTATTCATTTATCACACCACTTCTAAAACTATCTGAAATTGCTTCCAGGCTATTGATCTGAAGAAATTACAGACACCTCTATATGAGGAGTTCTTCAACAGCTTAAGCGCCATTCCTGAAGCATTCAGTCGGAAAGTTGGGGATGAATATGAAGGCGAAGCAGAACAAACTTCTAAAGGCTCGAAGCGATTTTCTAATAAAATCACAAATGATCCAACAACTCCTATATATGCTGATAATGCCACTGCTGGGAGCCCAACTGTTCTAAATACCGGCCTTGAGTGCAGGCCGGTTTTCCGAGAAATTCCTTCAGCTCAACTCAATGAGTGGGGAGAGCTTCTTCAAGATTCCAAGTCTGAAGCCAACAGCCCAAGGTTTGTTATCAAAAGTTTTCATTTGTTACAAATTATTCTATAACACAAAGTATGCTGAAGTAGTTGGAGGCTAATTCCAGAAATTTATGTGAATTTTTACTGGCAGGCGCAAAAAGTGGAAAGAAGAGTTGGACCAAGAGCTAGAAAGGCAAAGAGGTAATATATATATATATATATATATAAGATTTACATGCAGACCACTCAGTTCTTCTGTATTTACATATCTAACACCTGAACTTCAAGTTCTACATACATTCCACTTATTTATGATTGAAAAGGTGAATTTCACTTTTTTAAAAAAAAAATGTTGGTATTTTTTATGTGAAGTGAAAGATTCGGGTGGTATAATTGTTAAAAAGCAAAATTTAGTTGTTAGATATGTAAATAC